GTGAGAGGAGTGATCCCCTGGGTGCTCCTTCTATTTCTTTGTATTTTTGTCCATTATAGAAGAAGTATGTGTTGGATAGGCAGTGGTTGGTCAGATCTAGGATGTATTTGGGGGGGTTATATTTGTTTTGGATAGCTGTCAAGGCTTCTTTGATTGGCACTTGGGTGAAAAGGGATATGACATCGAAGCTCCCGAGTAGGTTGCTGGGCTGTAAGTTTTGTTTCTTTATGATCTCTATGAACTGGAATGAGTTTTTTACATGTGAGGTGATGGATTCTGCATAGGGCTGTAGTTGTTTGGCGAGAAATTTGGCTAGGTTTTGTAGAGGTGAGCCTATGGAGCTGACTATAGGTCTGAGTGGGGTTCCTTCTTTGTATATCTTGGGGAGACCATAGAGTTTGGGGCATCTGGATGATTTCTCTCTGGGAATGATTCTTTACTGGATCTCTTCGCTAATGGGGGAGGCTTTTATTTTGGATCTGGTGGTTTTTTCTAGGTAGGTGGTGGGATCTGTATTTAGGGGTTTGTATGTAGAGTCTTGGAGTAGGTTCCAAACAACTACAGCCCTATGCAGAATCCATCACCTCATACGTAAAAAACCACAGGACATGAAATTGACTTTAAAAATACCAGAACCATTGCCAAAAGTGAACATTTTAATAACAGAATAATCAGAGAAGCCATCGAGATAGAAAAACGCCCACACAGCATGAACAAGCGAGATGATACCTCCCGCCTACCAGCCATTTGGAGACCCGCCCTTATTGACAAACGACTCCCTAACACAAAAAATGATACCAGACCCACACTCACAAAAACCACACAGGATGTCACCACCACACATCCACGCAAAAAACAAACCCAAAGCCACACCGATGACGAGACACGACCACAAACCAGAAGCCAGACCACAGCTGCATCATTAGCCACTTTAAACCCCTCCAATCCATACATGAAGCAAACTGACACCCTCCATGAAGAGGAGCACGACCACGAACGCGAAGCCAAAAAATAGCAAGGCAGCCCAAAATCTTAAACCCCTCTGCAACTCAGACTAACCTGAGCACAACCAAACAGAAACATTCCCCCAGCCAATCAGAACACAGCCAAGCTCCCACCCAATCAGTTCATACCCCCACTGGCAGTTAAAAGGAATAAACAGCTAAGACCACACATTGCTGCTCAAAGCACGAAGCTGAAAGCACCAGCCTGAAGATGATGAATGGGACTTCGTCGAAACGTCGCCAAGACACTTCCAATTTTACGTGGGAGAAAACCCGAACAACCAAAGACCTACATACAAATACCCGCGAAAACCTCAGAAAACATATATATATATATATATATAATATATATATATATATATATATATATATATATATATATATATATATATATATGTATGTAGGTCTTTGGTTGCTCGGGTTTTCTCCCGCGTAAAATTGGAAGTGTCTTGACGACGTTTCGACGAAGTCCCATTCGTCATCTTCAGGTGTTTTTAGCTTCGTGCTTCGAGCAGCAATGTGAAAATAAAAATATGATTCCTGGGTGAATCCATAATCAATTACCAATAAAGCGTGAACACCAGGAATATAATAAACTATAAAAGTTTAATACCATCACCGATCACCAAGGGGAATAATGACACACCCACAAGCAGTAAAAGCAAGAAAAGAGGAGTCATCAGTATGGAAGCCGTAATTAAAAAGCAGTTAAATCAATTAGGACCTACGACAAGATCTAGGAGCCGTGTGCAAATGACGGTTCACCTATAAAGGCACTCTCCCACAGACCAGCATTAACCCTGACGATGTCAGAAGTATCTGATGAAAGCTTGGTGATCGGTGATGGTATTAAACTTTTATAGTTTATTATATTCCTGGTGTTCACGCTTTATTGGTAATTGATATATATATATATATACAATATATATATATATATATACAATATATATATTGTATATACAATACACATACATACATACATACACACACACATATACATACACATACATATACACACACACATATATATATATACACACACACACACACACACACACACACACACACACACAAATACCCCCCCACACACAAACACACACACCTATAATAAAGGTAAAAAAGGATATATGCAGTGTTATCTTCATTTTAGATATCAAAAGGATTTTGCGGCTCCCAGTGTTTTGTTTTTGGTGGGAAATGGGTCCAAGTGGCTCTTTAAGTGTTTTGGGTTGCCTACCCCTGGGCTAGACAGTCACTTGACTTAGATGGTATAGGCCGTCTTGTTTGAGCAGGAGGCTGAATTAGAAGACCTCCAAGGTCCCTTCCAGCTCTGTTCAATTCTTATTTCTAAGCAGATGCATCGTTTCTCAGATCTCACATGTACAGAAAGCAAAGGGCAATCAGTCGGAGCTGGTTGCTTAATGTGGCTCCAGCAGTTTAAGAAGAATTTTCTGCTTCTAGTTTCACCCTGAATAGAGGTAGAGAATTGTCACCCTGTGTTGATTTGACATTGGAAGCTAAGTAATAACATCCTCAGTTTCACATGTTGCAGTTTGCATATCCACACTGGGTTTGCTTTAATTTTCATCAATCTGGCTTTCTCAGAAGGTAATGGGGAGCCTACCTGCTCCAAATAGAATTGAAATGAAAAACCAGTTTAGTTTTTAATTTTGTTCTAAATGAAAATAGTTGGGATTCCGTAAGTAGAGTAGAGCAGAGTAGAATGCACATATCCAGATTAACAGTTCAGTTAAATTTTGATGTGGTGATACCTTTGGCCTCACTGAGATAAATCAGATCTAGCTGTTAAAGTAATGGCTTGGTTAATTTTATGTATGTTTTGGATTTGCCTGGGCAGGAAGAGCTGAGGTAGTTTAATTTTGATTGATTGATTGAAAGAGGAAGAGAAAAATAGGAGTAGTGTAGTTGCAAAACTTCTCATGATGATGTTTTCTGATCATGACTGAATCAAGAATCTGTGATTACAAGGATTCTCACCTCAACATTGTCATCTTCTAGATGCACATAACCTTTTGTTTTAGGGAATTGAAAATTTCCATTACTGGTCCTGTAGAAAATCCTAATCTTAGTCTCAATATTCTGAAATATGGAAGTGAGTTTGTTATCTTTTGGCCACTGGCTCATGACTGATGATTATTAAGCTTGTTGCTTCTCCTGATATCTATTACATCAGGATTCCTCAACCCCCCAGGCTGTGGACTGGTACCAATCTGCAGCCCATTAAGAACTGGGCCGCGCAAGCGAGTGAAGCTTCATCTGTGCATGTGTAGGTTCTAGCTAGCATGCAAAACCATACACACAAACACACTGTTCCACGCGAAAACATTTTTCCACACAACCAGTCCCTGGTACCCAAAGATTTGGGAGCTGCTGCAGTAGATGCAGTTGGTATAGCCAAGATAATGAATTCTTCTGGAGAAATAATAGAAGTATTGGTTGCAGAAATACTTGGTATTGATGCTGGTTATAAATACATATAGGAGGGGAGAAGAGATGGAGGAGTGCTATTTTACTTTAAACTGAAATGTCAGACAAATATCTGAGTTATAAAATTGGTACTAGGGATCCAACAATATTTTCTCCAGGAGAGTTTAAATATAGAGTCTGTGGTTTTACTTGTATAGACAGTCTGAGATAAGGGTGCAGAGAAGAGTAATAATCTGGATTATAACACGCATTCCTAAGCACAGCTGTGGGGAAAAGGAATAGTATCCTATATGGTTGATTGTTTACTGTATTTTACATCCTCCCCAACAGTATTGTTTCCCTGATTTTTTGGGCATAGCCAGGCATTCCCTCAATGCAAAACCATTTGGGCCAAAGAGTAAACTTGGCTCTTGAACAGCATTTTGGCAATCATCTTGTATTTTCTACTCTATATGAAACATGTTTTGCACAACATGCAAATTATGTGAAATAAACACCATTGATTAATTAAAGGTTGTTCAGGCTCAGTAATAGAGGATCTTGCTTACATGAAGTCCCAGATTCAATCCTTAAGCCCTTCAATTAAAAATCTGGCAGGGCTAGGACAGATTTCCTCCCTAGGAGATTTTAGCAGACAGGTTTCTGCTAAATGGATCTGCAATCTAACACCACAAGATTATTTCAGAAGTACATAATGGCACCTGAAAAGCACATTTTCCCCCATGGGGGTGGTTGTAAAAAACATGGGTGCTACAATTATCAAAGTTGTACAATAGTAACATCTTGTTTGATTTCCTGGAATGTATTGTATTTAATGTTGTTATTGCATTCTATTTAGAAGTAGAGTTAGAACAAATACAAGAGTTAGGTTACTGAGTAGGAGAAGAATGTTTCCTAGGCTTTCAGTCTAAGGGCTTTTTTTGTTTGTTTACTGTGTTCCTTGATGATGATGTCATGTAGTTCATTCCTATTTATCAGTGGCAAAGTATAATTTCCCAAGTGTTGCTTAGAAGATGGCCTAATCAAGCTGCCGCCTTAAACCCATTTGTAAAATACAAGTATGGAATTTGTAAGGATTTGGGCAGGAAGAAGAAGAAACACCAATGAGACATAATTTCTTAAAGTGGTTAAAATATTGTGTATTCAACTTAGAAAAATTACTTTAGATTTTAATTTTGTTGATCCAAAAACCATTTGACTTGAAGAATAATCCATCAAATACCAATATTGCAGAAGTGAAATGAAGAAAACTTTGATCTGTAGTTGTAAGGTCAATAGATTTCTTTCAATGTTGAAGTGCATCCCTTTATTTTTCTCCGTAATTGTGAGAACACATATTCTAAGGGGGCTCTTTCTAACTTTGAATCTAACTCTAATCCTTCTACACTTCTGGGTTCTGCCATGCTCCTGGAGGGGAGGGGGGAAACGCTGCAGGCTATTTCTTTGTTTTCCTCTATAACGGATGAACTACTGGGGTGGGGTTTGCTTGGGATATTTTAACCTATTGATCTGAGCGGGAAACCCTTAGATCCTGTCTATTATGCCTGCTATCAGCTTCTCCTAATAAAAGTTCCTTTTGGAAGAAACTGCTTCCACAAGTTCTACTTTCTTAGGATGAGATTTTGAAGTAGGCCCTGACATTAGCTTTGTTCCCTTCTGCCAAGGGCAGAGATGTCCAGAATTCCCCATGTTCCTCTTAAGCTGTGTCCCAAACATATAGAATTTGAGCCCTTGATTTGCAATAAGAAGGAAATGGTCCTTTCATGGTCCTAGTTATTAATAGGCTGAATCATAACAACAAATCTATTATTTTATTATGCCTTTCGTTCGTTCGTTGGACAAAACTCAATGGTGTGAAGAGAGGAAATTTAAGTCGTTTGTTCTTTCTTTTTTGCTTTCATTTGAATAATACAAGGCAGTTCCAATGGCCTCAAGATGCTTGGAACTGTGCCTTAAACATGCAGTTTGAGGCTAGAAGATCTAAAAGCATTAAGTTTAGAAAGGCTGAAAAGGGAATAAACTTGCAAAGGAGATACTCTAGTGAATGATCTTGATTCAGATTTGCACATTCACCAAAATGACAGAGCTGGGTTCTGAGCTGTAGTTGTCCACTGTGAAATCTGTCCACTATGAAATGGGATAAATACTACCTATCCTTCCAGCTGGCTATGATGCTTAACTGATTTAGATAGCAAGAAGAACAAATAACTGAAAATGAAAATATGGAATTTAAGGGCTTGCTGTTATGAAAATGCTTTTGATTTTGTCCATTCCCTCTCTCCCCCTACTAATGCTCTCTGTAAAATAGGAATACAGTATGGTGATTTAACTGGGCTCCAGTACTATGCTTAGAAGGGAATTATATGGAAAAGCAAATATAAATAATGATTTTATTCAATCTTTCAGCCGGTCTTAGTATTTACCTGTCTTCCAGCTGCCCAAAAGGCCCGAGAACAATTTGAAGAAGTAGAGAAGTCCTTGAAAGAAATGGAGGAATCAATCAGGTAGGACTTTGGAGAGAAAAACTATAACTATTCAACTGGATGGTGGCTTCTGTGAATAAGAGCATGAATGTTGCTATTTTGGCCCATCTTTGTATGAGTTCCTGATGCATCTTAACCTCCTGGCAGTCAGTCCCTTAGTAATAGATACTCAAGTCTGTTTCAATGACAACCACCAAGGCTTTCCAATGTAGGATCAGTCTTCTGGCCCATTATGTTTTTGAGCAGTTCAGAATGTGGTAGTTTTCCTTATAATAAACTGGAAGCCCATCTTCTATTAGCTTCTATCACATTGCTTCCCACTAGTTTCTGGCATTTGTAGCTCCTGGCTGATTCCAGGAATCTAAAAGTAGATTGTCTATTTGCTTCTGGCAAACTAGAGAGCCACCTTATTTTCATAACATTTCTGGAGATCTGGTCTTTGCTCCTTTGCTTTGTATTCCCATTCACCCATTCTTAATCTGGATGGAGAGGTGCCATTTTTTTTAAATCTGGGAACCTAGAAGGATGGTATTGGAGGGTTCATGAGCCTAAAATATCAACCTGGGGGTGAATGGGTGAGTGAGACTAAAAATATTAGAACAACAAACTGGTTCTTATAGTCTGACACCTCTCTTAAATCCTGATGTTTTCTATTGTTTCTTGCTATCTTGATGTGTCTTAACTTGTATATTCCATTTGAATTTTCCATAAAGATGAAAAGGTTTGCTCTGGAAGTATGGGTGCTATTTTGTGATTTGAGTCACATCTTTTTCTCCCCAGGTCTCAAATGGGGAAGGGGAAAGAATGAAAGCCAGAAATAAATTTCAAGCTGTCTCTTATTGATTGCATACATAATTATTGCAGTAATCACACCACTCCTGAGCTTTTAGACTGGGAGGGTTATTTCAGGGAGCAGATGGGAGACCTCGGCATGCTTAGTTTAGTTGACACTGGTGACAGACACTTCATTTTTAGCTATTGGGGAGGGAGAGTCTTAATTTGGGAGATTCTTCCTCCTCCCGAGAAACATAATACAAGATATATTGGATCCTCTGAATACAGCCATTCTGGCTAGGCTTTTAATTTCAAAGCTCTTTCCCACTTTGTCTTGAAAATAATTTTGTGTACGTGTAATCTGAATATAAATTTGTTCCAATTTAAACAGTGATCAACACAACCAGCCAGTCCTTTCCAGTTAGTTTTTAAAACAATTTTCTTTACCCATAAAACTGTAGGTTGTATAATCTTTAGCAAAAATTCCACTGTGAGAGATGATCGTTTAAGTAAGTTTCTATAGTGAAATGTCACGGGAGAAGGATGAATCCTGTACATCAACTTTCTATAACTTAAATGCATCTTAAATATAGTTGGCTCCAACATAGGCTACTGGGAGCTTTTCTTGCACAAATCATCCTTTCCCCATCATATCCTTGCAGATATTTATGTTTGGTGCCCAGTATATCTCCACTCAGAAGTATGGGCTCTTTAAGGGAAGAAATGCAGATTGCTTTGTCTCCATCAAGGCGGGGGCAGCCTTTTGGGGAGCTAATGACCTTGGTGGTTAGCTAGAGCTCTCCAATGCTGAATCTTAGTTGACCTAGATCTTTGGAACACTTGGGGGTATGGGCCTTCAGTTTCTGTAGTTGCAATTTCTGTTTCTATAATTTCCATTTCCAAGTTTATAAAAAAGTCACATGAAAGCCACTGTTACTTCCATTAGCAGTAGATGGTATACCTAAGTCTCCTCCCCTGCACAGAGAAAACTAGCGTGTCAAGGAGAATACTAGGCCAGAATTCTTGTCCCTGAAGTTCTATTTAAAATGTCAAAGATAAAATGGTTGAAGGAGTTATGGGAGAGAATTTTGTCATTTGAGGTGGTGCAAATAAGATGCTGGATCATGACCTTGGGGAGAAAATGGCTTGCAATGGCAGGTGCAAAGCAAGAGCCTTAATTGAAGTCCTTTAAAATTGGCTGTAGAGGGGGTGATTTTCATCTAACCATAATTTAGCTGTAGCTGCAAGCACAACCTGCCCCTCCTCACCCCCTGGGAGATCTTCGGTTTGGCCCATTAGGAAAGCTTTTAAGGGGATAGGAGGGGCACAGAGGATCTGTTAGCTAAGCAAGCAGTTAATGGAAGCTGTGAGAAGCAGCTGAGACTTGTTTTGTTGGTGTCATTTTTCAAAGCAGTTTTTTTCTTTGGGGAATGAAAGATACCCTGCTCTATCCTCCTCCTGGAATTTGGATCCCTGGAACTCACTTTTTAGATTATCAACCATCTTTTCTTCAGAGTTGGACTGTTAGCCTCCCAGCATAGGCTTGCTCCTGTCCCCTAGGACAGGTGGGACTGCTGCTGGCAGAGAGATTGAAGCCTCTTCCTTCAAGGCTTGGTTAAAGAATCCATATGTGCACCAGGGGCATTCTCTTGCCAGCTTGGCTTGGGTGTACAATACAGAGGAATTGAAGGATACTGTATCAGGCTTCTGAAGAACGAAGAGCAGAATTAGTTTTGTCCAGGGAAGAGGAAAATGCTTCCTTCTTCCTGAAAGCTCTTTCCATCTGACTGCGGCCAAGCATTAGCTAAGGGCAGGTCTTTCATCAGACAAAGAGCTTTGCATCCATCTGGTGTCTGGGAGAGAGATCTGTAATTAGGGGTAGTCTTGGTGACAGGGCGGTAACCATGGGATTCAGCTTCCCCAACTTGCCTCCTTTCTGCTCTCTGGGGTCCCATGGGTCTGCACACAGATGATAAGGGCAAGAAACAAAGGCAGCTTCTTGGCAAAGATCAAACTATAAGATCTGAGCTGTTTTACACACACACACACACACATCCAGATGACCACCCGATGAAAGCAAAGAGATTCAGAAAGCTCTGCCTCCTTGTTGCCATCTAGAGATTGCCTGGAGCTTTATAACTCAGACATGGTACCTCTAAAGAAAGAGTCTGAGTAAAAAGGGCATTGATCATTGATGCAGGTAAAGCCTGCTTTGTACCATTTTGTGGGTGTTGGGATGAGTAGGCAAGACCCATGTTCATGCTTGAGGACCAATCATGGATGAACTGAAGAGGCTGCTGCTTGACTTAGTTCCCTCTCTGTGCATCTTAATATTGATGACTGAACTCAGGGTGCACCTCTTGAAAAGTTGTACCAATCAGAGTGGCCTATACCCCTAGACAGATTGTGGATATGGCTCAGTTTGAGCAAATTCAGAGAAGAACAACTAAGATGATCAAAGGCCTGGAGACTAAAACATACTTAGAATGGCTATGGGACTTGGGTTTGGCTAGTCTAAAGAAAATAAGAAATAGGGGAGACATGATAGCAGTGTTCCAGTATCTGAGGGGCTGCCACAAGGCAGAGGGGGCCAGGTTGTTCACCAAAGTACCAGAGGGAAGGACGAGAAACAATGGTTGGAAACTGATCAAAGAGAGAAGCAACCTGGAATTAAGGAGAAACTTCCTGACAATGAGGACAATCAACCAGTGGAACAGCTTGCTCCCAGAAATCGTGGGCGCTCCATCACGAGATTTTTAAGAAGAGGCTAGATATTCACCTGTCTGAGATGGTATAGGTTCTCCTGCTTGAGCAGCAGGCTGGACTAGAAGATCTCCAAGGTCCCTTCCTATTCTATTCTATTCTATTCTATTCTATTCTATTCTATTCTATTCCCCCTTTCCTTACAATTTTGTCAAATGCAGCAAGTTACAAATGATCTGTTGCATCTCTCGTATTTCACAAAAGCTTTTCTTGATGGTAAAAATGTTTTTTCAACTTCCTGCTTTTTGCTCTCTTTTTCCCCCTGCCCCTCCCCCCAGTTTCCCAGAGCCCACCCACATACTTTGCATTCCCTTCCTAAAGCTGAAATCTGCCTAAAATAAAATAGGGGGCTTATTTTCTTTCCTCTCCATTGTTTTACCTCATACATCAACAGTTACTTTAAATATTTGGGTATCTATAAAGGTCGGCTACTGTCTGAATACACCTTCAGCATTGTTTTGAAGGTGTCAGATAGCAAGGAGAATTTATTTGGAAAGGATTTTGGGAAAATTATACCATATTCTATTAAATGGGTCTACAAATGTTCCTAAAACTTTAATTACTACCATTAATTAGTTTAGCAATATGTCTTGTGATTTTTATGTATTCATTTTTTTCTTTAACAGTGTCTTTTCCTCTTTTGTTTGTTTCTCTAGGAGTCTAGAAAAAGAAATTTCCTTTGATTTTGGTCTGAATGGAGAATTTTCTTACTTGTATGGCCAGTGTTATGAACTCAATACTAATGAGTAAGTGCCTATTTCCTTATACTGAATTGTGTTTCTGTTAAGAGTGATCTCAGGCCCCAGTTCAGCCACATTTACATCTCTTTTGATTATATATTTCCCTCAAACAATGCAGAAGATAAGTAACTTTTTAACAGGTGCAGTTTTTCTGAAGTATAGTAAATAATTATTCATATGGGATTATTGAGCTGATTCAGTGCTCCTATCAGAGCAAAGGTTGTAAGAGTTGTATTTTGGTGAAAATGAGATTCCCTGTCTATACCCAGGCATACACATGCAAAATTTGTTTCCTAGCTCTCACCAATTCTGGAAATGTTTGCAGGATACTCAGCTCAAGGAGGCAATCTACCTGGTCTTCTAGCAAACCATTATAAAAGCAATTCACAACCTCAGTTTTATTGGCTTTTAATTGATTTTAAGTGGCAGGTGTTTTATAGAAATATTAACAGAGGCTAATTCCTGCTAGTTGACTAATTCTGAGAAGGAAAAGAAGAGAATCCCAGGATTGTGTTTATTTAATGAACTAATAGCTAAAGGTGTTCATGCTCAATCTTAGAATGGAGTTTGCTTACTGTGAGAGATATGGAAATCATCACGCAGTGCATGACATATATTTCTTTTGTGCTTTTTTCTTTTTCTAGATATATTTATCGCCTCTGCCCCTTTAACAGAGTGTCTCAAAAACCTAAGCATGGCAGCTCAGAGACTAGCCTTGGGTAAGAGACTTTGATGCTGTTATGCCCTTTGAGGATTGAGGGCAGAGCATCCATGCTGCTTATAACAACCAGAGGTCATTTGCTTCCTGAACTAAACTGAGAAGTGATCTGGTATACCGATCAAAAGGCTGAGCAATGAAGTAGAAAGCCCCTAGTTTGGGTTTTGTTTCTGCCCTGAAGTCCCTAAGTATATCAAACCCTAATCTAAGTGTATCAAACCCTGATCCTCCTTCCATCTCTAACCCAGTCTTTGAAAAGGAAGGGTATAACTAATCTATTTTGGAAGCTAGTTGTAATAATTGTGTCAGGAATCACATATTTAAAGCACAGATGACACTATATATTTGCTCTGTGTTGATTTTATGTATGCCTATTAAGAACATTGCCCTAATCTTCATTTAGTGAGTGCCTTGAACAGTCTGCATTCACAGTTACAATACTGGTGAAAAAGTAACTTTGCGATCAAACTTTGCATTTGCAATCTTTGCAGATCTGTAAAGTAAATGAAAGCTGAAGGAAGGTCATGAGCGTAGTCAGTTTCACTTAATGACTGCTTCACTTAACAACCAAGTTGCTTGTCCCAATTGTGATCACTAAATGAGGGCTACCTGTAGTGTCAGGATAAAAAATTTCTCCATTAAGCTGAGAAAGAATAATTCGCTAAACATGTTGTGAGACTTTTAAAATACTTAACCTCAGGCTTTTCTTTCTCCAAAAGATTACTTCTCATGACCCAATCTCATTTGATAGAGGGAAGAGCAGTGTGTATATGCATCCCAAATTTTCTTCTGGCCCTTGAAATGGCTGACTTTGAAATGGTTTTGAAATGAGTTGTGTCTGCTTTTCTTCATTGAACTTCCTGTATTACAGTTGGCAAGTGCTCATTGGTGCACTGACTACCTTGCTTTCCTTCTAGTACATGGGGATCCTGGGCTGGTTCAGATGATAACAAATTCAGCATCATGAAATACGAGCATGGGACAGGCTGTTGGCAGGGCCCCAATCGATCTACAACGGTGAGTTCTTTCAATGGGGCAAAATGGTTGCAGCTAATCTTTATGGAAAGCAAATAGTTGCAGTCTTTCACAGACTTTAGAATTCTGAATTCCATCAAAGGTTGTACCTTCAGGAGGACCCATTAAAGGTCATCTCCAGATCCTATAGAGCAGTGGTTCTCAACCTTTCTAATGCCGTGACCCTATAATACAGTTCCCCATGTTGTGGTGACCCCCAAGTGGGTGTGGCCACCAATAAGAGGGAGTAGGACAGCTAGGGAAAAGGGGGAAAAAATGGCGGACTGCGTGGTTTGGCGACCCCCGTGAAATGGTCATTCGACCCCAAATGGGGTCCCGACCCACAGGTTGAGAACCACTGCCATAGAGAGAAGGGCTGTGTACGCTTGCAGGAGCTGGCCAGAAGAGATTAGGAGTTTTACTTTGCGTTTTGGATTGGACTCCTGCTTGGGCATTATCCATGCCTCCTTCCTTCTTGGCAGTTTGGTGAGAGACTTACAGCACAGAAATGAAATTGGCAATTTTGCTTGTTTGCTAATAGAATACAGTATATGCTGTGTAGCAGACACTTATCCCTCGGCTACTGGAACGTGGGAGACAAATTCTTTTTTACTGGTCAATTTTCATCCTGAGTTGTAAAAGAGATGGACATGGGACTTCCTGATTGTACATTTATAAAGTTCTGAATGTTACCTGAATGTTACCTTGCTAAGAATGCATGTCATAAAAAAATTCAGCATAGCTATCTCTGTCACTTGCTAGTTTTTGCTTCATGCACAAGAGGAGAGGTCTTTTGAGGATAGATTTTCAAACCAACATACAACCCCTGGTGTCTGAAATGGTGCAGGCTGGGAAAGCTGAACCTTTTTTTTACATCCTTTCAATATTGCTTGATAAAGATTTTGAAGCAAAAATCCTTAGTAAGATTTTACAAAAAACATCATGAGATTTTGGAAAAAGTGCAAAGAAGAGCAACTAAGATAATTAAAGGCCTGGAGACTAAAACATATGAAGAACAATTGCAGAATTTGGGAATGGCGAGTCTCGAGAAAAGAAGGACTAGGGGTGACATGATAGCAGTGTTCCAATATTTGAGGGGCTGCCACACAGAAGAGGGGGGTCAACTTATTTTCCAAAGCACTAGAAGGCAAGGCAAGAAACAACGGATGGAAACTAATCAAGGAGAGAAGCAACCTGGAATTAAGGAGAAACTTCCTAACACTGAGGACAATTAACCAGTGGAACAGCTTTCCTTCAGAAGTAGTGAGTGCTCCATCACTGGAGGCTTTTAAGAAAAGACTGGACAGCCACTTGTCTAAAATGGTATAGGGCAGTGGTTCTCAACCTTTTTAATGCCGCAACCCCCAACCGGTCGTAAGTCGAGGACTACTCAACTGGTCATAAGTCGAGGACTACTCAACTGGTGCAGCACCATTTGCAGAATGGGACTTTTGGCGGGCTCAGCAGGGCAGAGACAGCCTGGACAATTCCTATTGGCTTTTGAAAGCCAATAGAATTAGACTCTATTCAAGAGAGTCTATTCTATTGGCTTTCAAAAGCCAATAGAATAAAAGGGAGTAGCACAGCTAAGGAAAAGGGGAAAAAATGGCGGACTGCGTTGTTTGGCGACCCCCGTGAAATGGTTGTTCGACCCCAAATGGGGTCCCGACCCACAGGTTGAGAACCACTGGTATAGGGTCTCCTGCTTGAGCAGGGGGTTAGACTAGAAGACCTCCAAGCTCCCTTCCAGCCATATTCTGATTGATTGATTGATTGAAGAAGCAGTATATCATTGGTTAGAATGAAGCAGTGTCAGACCTGCCCCAGTCTGATCTCTTAGGGAAGTAAAACTCTCAACTCCATGTGGTTAAAGTGAAAAGACACTTTTACTAAGAGATGGTGATTGCAGTAAAGTCAAGTGGAATCTTAAATTTAATTTCAAATGTGTGCTGATATTCTGAGGCTGGTTTACTTATTTAGATTTTTATCTCATTTTTATTATTTAACTTATGGCGACAAACATATCTAATACTCCTTCCTCCTATTGTCCCTACAACAGCAACCCTGTGAGGTGGGTTGGGCTGAGTTAGACTGACTGGCCCCAAGATACCCAGCCAGCGTTCATGACTTATGCTGTCTGTAGTATCTTGTGGGATAACTGGGGAGTCGGTCTCTTCTTTAATTGCTAGCTTCTATTACAATAAGGTTTAAGAGGCAATGTCATTTGCTCTGATTTTTTTTCTTACTAAGGTGAAACTTTCATGTGGCAAGGAGACAATTATCACATCTACAACAGAGCCTAGCCGCTGTGAGTATTCAATGGAGTTTGTTACCCCAGCAGCTTGCCATGAGCCAAAAGATCTCGGCCACGATGAGCTCTGAGACAGGTGAGTTCCATCAGCTTAGACTTATATTCTTTGCTTAATAGCTAGGAGGAATTATGAAAGGACGAACATATTTCAAATAAGATTCATCTTCCTTCAAGGGTATTTGAGTGAATGTCACCTTTCAATATTAAGCCCTTCAGTTCAAAGACTATTGAAAAAGGATCATTGTTGTTTCTATCTTTATCTTCCTGACACATTCTCCTGTGTACCATTTTCTTGCAGCTGTGCACAACCATCCCTGCCAGAGAAGCCAGGTTCTAATTCATACGATTCCAGGCAATTTTGTAGAATTCACCACACAGTTTGCCTCTAGATACGCTCTTCATGGATTCCAAGTTATTGTTACTCTGGCCAGTGGACTTTGAAGTTTGAAAAACTTCCATATTTTTTTTCTGTCAGCTACTGGGACACAAGTCTTTTTCCCATCTACCCAGTTGTGACCAAGTATTGTCTGCCCTAAATACATCCACTTAGGATTGCACAACTATCTGGCCTTTGTTCTGCTGGCAGAAGGCTTCCTCCACTCCAAAATTGGATGCTTTTATGAAGAAGAAGATGCATTTACTTCTCATTCATAGTGGACAGTCTTCAAAACTGTCTACCTGAAGCTTTTTGCTGCTGGCCTTTTTCTGAGCCAGATTTCCACTGAGTCTGAAACTTTGGACATGTAAAACAAGAAGAGGGGACAAAAATCACCGCCTGTTTTTTATCTGCTGTTTTTCCTGGAAAAAAAAAATCACATTTCCATCCAATAAAGAAAGAGTCCTTTCTGTCTTGTCTTTTTCTGTGAAATTGAAGTGGGGGTGAGCTGGGGTTGCATTAGAGAACTATGGCCTTAAAAAGGCCTTGTTTAGGCCAGCTGGTATCAGCTGTACAAACACATCGCCTCTCCCTCCCTTGAAATTGCCTAAAAGCATTAATGGGGATTGGGGACATGGGGTACAGACAACAGACCAGCCTCTTCTACACCCACCTCCAGGGTCCTTGGGGATGAAGGCCTCCCAAGCTCTTCTGTTGATAAAGATGGGAGGGGGAGGGCAGGAGGAAAAAGCTGGTGACTTTCACCTGCTCTCCTTGATTGCTGTCAAAGCCTAACCATTTCCATAACAAAAAACCGGAGGCTCTTTCTTGCCCAGCCCCCATTGTTTTTCATCGGAACCCTTCTTCAAAAAAGCATCTGCTGCTTTCTGGGACTGGGGGGGGGGGGAGGAGAGGCAGGCAGTCTTCTCACAAAAGGCCCTCTGGTGATGAGGATTACATTGTATTATATGTCTTCAGATCTCTGCTGGAGTAGTGGGTTGGGAAGGAAGAAAATTCTGTGAGGTTTTATGTTGAGCATATTGGATGATATTTGAGTGAGGAAAATGCTCTGTTATTTCTTAGGTTATATGGCATTTTCTACTGGTGAGGAAAGCAGGCTTTAAATTGAAACAACTGGTGTCAGAGGCAGACAAGACTAAGTGTCCTCCAGATATTTTGAACTTTTTCTGCCCTAGCCAGTAATGCAAGTAATAAGGGGTTACAAAAGTTGATCTCACATACCTGAAAGGTGCCAGCAGGTTTAGATAATGGCTTATGTATATGTGTTCATTTGAACCAGTTTCTGATTATCAAAGAATGGTAAGGCTCCCACAAATGTTGGGAGGTATTTTCTTCCCAGAAATGTGTGAGTTCTACATCTCTTCAGATAGGCAAGGGGTAAAGGTTAAATTATCATCTCTTGAGAGTTGCTTTATTACTTCAATATTTGAGAAAATAAGAGGGTAATCCTTGGTTGTCAAAATGAGATGATTATGACAGGAAGACATTTTTGTAGCAGGAAGAACTTCTATCCCTGATCCAAGAGATAGAGACTTTTATTTTGTCCTCACCAATGCTACTAGGTTGCCAGGCTTACTTTACAACAAAGATATGTGGATTGGGCTACACCATCAGGTCTTCCTATTGTTTTAACCAGGATTTGTGGATTTAAGTCAGTTTGTGGTTTTTATATAATACATCAAACTACCACACCTGCAGATTTCTTGGTAATATTTTGAAGTATCTGCTCTTCCCTGCTTTCTCAGACTGAATGACTAACCCAGGGTCACCCCTGCTGGATTTGTGTCTAATATGAGACTTGAACTCGGTCCCCGTTTCCAGCTTAACTTTAACCACACTGGCTCTTTTGAGCTCCACTCTTAGAATGCTCTTTACTGATGTCCAGCAGGTCTCCTTGCTTCCCTCTTTTAAAAAAGTTATGCCTGTACTGTCCCAGACATCATATACCTGAATTTCCTTTCAGTGAGCAGAGTGCTCCACAGGGACAGACAACTTTTCTCCTCCTTTTCCATCCTCCTACAACTCTTTTCTTTCCATTTCTGAGGATAAATTAGATCTGCTAATCTACTCTGACCTGAAATAAAATAGCAACCTTGGTCTAAATTTTTTTTCATTTAATAGCAAAAATGGGTGATGTAGCAAAGTTTTGAGCTTGCTGGAGGCAGAAATGTCAGACATTTTCAAGCAATATTAACTGGATTGCTGCAACCATCATATATTGTACCTGGAGAACCTTTGCTGTTTGTGATATACTAGGTGCTTTCCCACACCTGCTTATATTCAAAGCACTGGTGTAACTTAAGCAAGCCATTATTTATTGTTAGTCTTCAAGAGTAGAGGGTAAATCTCAGAAAGCACACAATTATTTTTCTGTTCCAAGTAAGAGTGAAGGGCAATCTGCACAGGTCAGTGCTGTGTGGAAGTACAACGCCATGTAACTTCCTGGAATTATCTTCAATATAAGACACAGACTCTCACAAGATTCTGAACTTTTTATTTTCTGGCATGAAAAGTACAAATAATTAAACAATCCCATGTAAAAGTTTCATACAGCCACCGTGCCTGAAATCCCAGTAATAAATAGTCTAAACTAAATGCAAAGTGTCATTTTTATTTTTATTTTTTTACAATTTTCAAACCTTTCCCACATCAACTGATTCTCATTTTTTTTAAATATATTTTTTAAAACTGTCCCAATCCATGTGAAGCTTCAAGGAACTCTGGGGGCAGGCACTCCATTCCTATTGTTTTCTCCCCTGAGCCCTACCATACCCCATGACTAAATACATTGGTGGGAGGCTAGGGGGCATGTAAAAGTTATTAGGAACTCGCCATGACAACAGACAATTTTTTAACCCTCTGCTACCTTCAATGTTGCACCCTGACCCACCACTGGCAAACAGTAAGGACATCTCATGAGCCCTTCTCCCTGCTCTGATGCCACCAGGCAAAGTGCTTTAATTTCCTCCCTGCCCTCATTCAATCCTTAATCAAGCCACTTCACTTCTTAGTAAACTTATACTAGCACTTATTGCTACTTGAAAAAAATACACTTGAAAAGGCTAGATTGCTATAGCTGTTTGGTAATCAACAAATCTTAACACAGAATTTTATTTGCCACTAAATGCCCTTGTTGCTATGCAGGATAAGGTTGCAGGATTAGACATTTAGTAGGATCTGATCAAAGGCAAAGCAGGCGGTTCACACAACTGAAACTGGTGGCAAAGCTCCTGCTATTAGTAGCTGTGTATGCCAGTTAGGCAGCTTGACTTGATGGCTCCAGTTCGTAACAGCTCTTTAAGCACAGAAGTAACTTCAAGGGATGGCAAAGAAGCCTTAAAAAGGCTATGTTTTGTTTATGTGCAGATATCCATTTCACACCTTCCTTGTTTTCAATGTTTAACCTTGGGTATTGAGGCATCTTGAAAAATGGGGACAAAGCAAGTGCTCTACTTCTGTGATGTTATTTTTGAGAACAAACTGAAAATACTACATCTCTGTGCCAAGTCTTAAAAGAGGCAACCTTTCCTATTCTGATCATCTCTAGGGCACCAGACACAGAGGGTTAGTCTTAGCCATTCCCTTCTGAGTCTGGTTAATCCCATAAATGGCTCAAGCTATTGCTTGAAGTACACTGAGAAATACCACGTCTTCCAAAATAAGAATGCAGTTATGGTTGTAATGCATATTTTTGTAATAAAAATTCTTTTGTAAAGTACTCCCTGCTATGTGGTATTAAAAACATATGTTTTATGTGCCATTCTTCAGTAGCCTTCCATGGGTACACATTAAAAATTGGCATTATGATACATAAAGCAAGTCTGTGTTTGCTATCTATATGGCACAGCAGGTTTCATGCTAAACAGTGACTTTAGCATTTCTTCACATGTGCTAATTTGAACATGTGCTATGAATCAGCTATGGCCATTTCTCGGGCAGAGTATGCCTGAGCCTGTTAATCCCATTGGATGGCTGCAGAGCCTGGGCAGGAATTGAGCTTCCAGATGAACTCCTGACAGCCTGACCAACTACTGTATCAAGGATAGTGAGTGCTGTCCAACATCTACAGGAAGGGCTGTTCTGCACAACTTTGCCTTTTGGTGGAGCAACTGCTTCGAGAGGTTGAGGCTTATGTTTGGGGGCAAAGTAAGTTCACAGTAAAGTTATTTCTTTAACCAAACATTAGCCTTTCTGTCCTATCTGAATGCAAAGCAGCCACGATTTAGGATTTGCAGAAGCTAGCATTTGTAAGTGGCTTTGTCAAATAATATTTTTAACAGTAACCCATCTGATTCAAACATACTAAGTGGTCTTTAGCTGATTTTTGAGCTGAGTTCTCCAGAAGACTGAAGTGGTTTAATTGTAAGAATTAATTATTGCTAAAGTTGTTTTTAATCTGCCATGAAACTGACTAAATGGAGGAGAAAAGTGCATTCTTATAGCACACTTTCTAGTTAAAAACAAGGAATATGATGTAGCAGAGTTCTCCAACCTTTCCGGCTTTGCAGATCAGTGGGCGGGGGGGGGGGGAAAGAGGGGATGGTTCCACATGAGTGGCTGGCAAGCGTCTGCATGCACATGTAGCTCCATTTACACAAGTGGCGTGCATGTGTTCCCGCTGCTCATGGAAATGGGATGTGCATGCATGGGCTTGCCTGCTACTCACACAAGTGGGGATGCATGTGCGTGCTCGCCCAATATTTGCATAACCCAGTTACAAACAGCTCACGGCCCACTAGTGGGCCACAGCCCAGATGTTGGGGACCCCTGGGATATGGTTGGGTTTTTTTTTTTTTTTTGAGGGCTTTATTATGCAAACTTTCAAATCTCTTTTAATGGGGATAAACATCCAACTTTTTTTAATTTCAGCAATTAGGAAGCCTACTTTTAATTATTTGAATGCTGTTTACAGGAAAGAAAGGTTTTTTTTTTTTTTCTCAAGACACATAACCCTTTAGAATAGAATAGTTCCTCAGTAAATCTCCGTGTTGATAAGAATATGGTACAAAGTTAAAAACCTATTTTTGGTCTAATTTTTTGGTAGAGGATTATCTTTAAATCATGGACATCTTCTGTTTAGAAAAATATAGCATGGTTTCCAAGGTCTTTTGCACTTTTCTTCAAAACCTGGACTGATACTGATTCTCTTTGCTTTGGAAACATATCAGACCTTAGCTACTTTGGCCACAGGCCCCATTTTCTGCACATAAAGCAGATGCCCAAAGGGGTCCTTTCCATGCCCTGGGGTCCCTCTACCCACCGACCCAATTACTGCATGATTCTAAATCATCCATGGGGCAGGGAAGAAATCAAAATAAGCTGGAAAGATTGATTTTCACTGTATTTCTCTTTGTTCAGAATAATTTAATGTAACTCTTCTCTCAAATTGTTACCAGGGACTTTAGCAAAACAGTTGCATTGATTCCAATGACATGGCAGCCAAAAACTGCTTGCAAACTTCAAGTACCCCTAATGAGTGGCTTAGTATTTTGAAAAATCACTTACTGCATTATCCACAAAGAGAAAATGCATTTTAAAATTGTTCCAATTCTACTCTTCATATGCAAAAGTGTTGTGAATTCAATAGGACTTTTTTCCAGGTAAATATCTACAGAATTCAGCACAAGGTGCTATTCATGTTGTCTAACCAAAACAAATTTCCCTTTCTGCTTAAGGATCTCAGTGAATCAGAGCCAGAAAAGATTAGGAATGTCCTTTACGTTAAAAAAAAATCAGTTGCCTGTGATGCCTGCTTAAAATATTTAAAATAAAAAATCAAATTATCACTGAAATAATTTTTGTTAAATGTGGGAGGGATGCTGAGTGGCAGCATGTGAAGGCCAGAGGGTACAGAATACAAGAATAGAGAAAATGACAAGCTACACATTATTCCCTTCCCACCCACCCCATAACCTTCTAATAGAATGAACTCAAAATGTGTTTTTTCCAACAAGACAACAAAACAAACTTGTCTTTAGATTTTGCTTTATGCCACATTTGTAGATTGTTTTTAAAATGTTTACCTCTGCACTTTGCTCTGATGGAGAGCCTGTCATTTAAGCTTTTTTAGTATTGTTTCAATTTTGTTTGTTATTTAATAAATAAATAAGGAATAATCATTTTCAGCAAATTAAAAATATTTCCCTTTTAACTTGCAACTCTGATGAGAACATAAATATACACAAATGTATTCTTACAAGGCAGTAATAAATATTTAAGTTAACAATAAGTTAAAACTACAAGAAGCTAAAATTCGCAAAAAGATACAAGAGTTAATGGTGCCAGTTTTTTTTGTTCTTTTTCTCATTTTATCGCAAACAGAAGCTGCCACAGACTCTTACAAAACACAAGTGAACACATTTATTGTCAAAAAAGCAAGAAATCCTAAACTAATTTCTAAATCATTAAACAATTAAAACTCGAACTAATGCTAAAATGTTAATTATCATTAAGTTCGTCTTTTAAATGTTCATTTTTTTCCATTTTTCCTTTGAGAGCAAAAGAAAATAAAGTCCCTTGCTCAAGTGCTATCAATGACTCGTTGTTTTTAGCCAACCAAAATAAATAAATAAATAAAAATGGAAATTAGGTCATGTGCATTTTCAGGATGTGTTTGTTAACAGAGATCCAAAGAGATGCCTTGGGAAAGGCAACCGTAATTTCATCCCCTTTTACAATTAGATTTTTAAGAGAAATTCTCATTCCCTTCAGCATGTGGGAAGGAAAGGAAGGAAGGAAGGAAGGAAGGAAGGAGGGGAAAGAAAGGCAGACCTGGGTGTCACTGGGGTACAACCTCTACAACAGATCCATCCCACTTCAAGGCTCCAATCTGAAGGGAGATGGCCATAAACGTAAACAGGTTTTAAAGCAGCAGCCCCCTACAGAGAAACCATCTGACATTTAAAAAAATCTTTTTGGATTCTTTTGGCTTAATTTGAGAAACAGGCTGATCCTCCTGAAGAAACAGTTAAAACTCCAACAAAGTATTTATTCAGCATTTATGGCAGCCAGTTAGGCTAAAAACTCAAAATTTTCAGCTTCCTGCTTTTAAACAAACAAATAAACAGAAGCCGGCTAACATTACAGAGCACTGTTCTAAGAAAAAGCCTTGGCCTGTATTCTTACCCTCTGCCTTTCTTCCCCACCTACCCACAGCCAAGGCTGAAAAATGGTTTGTTGACAGCAAAGGAAAGTCTCACCTCTGCCCTTTGACATCTAGTCTGCCACAGCACTTCATTATCACAGGGAAACTTGCATACTATAGGATGACACCCTCCAGCATTTGTCTCAATTTATTATGGTGTCACTAAGAATACATTCAGCACGAGGACCTACCAGGAAAGCATCCTCCAACCCAAGGATGATAGGACAAAAGGCCAGGTGGTAAATATTGAGGCAGCCCATTTTTTTCTTTTTTTAAAAAACAACCTTTGCATCATTCTGACTTTCTGTTAAAAAGCATCACTCCACACAGGATGATTAAAAGATAAGGGTGGATGAGTGTGTTTTAGCTTCACCCTGACAAAATAATTTTATGTTAATGAGATAGAGACAAGAATGGCTTTCTGGACAATAGTCTCTGTTCAAGGCTCTACAGGGTTAGCTGAGTCTGATAAAAAAGAAAAAAGAAAGGAATGCCATTAGAGACAATCCCTTCATTAATTTCGGGGCATCATCCCTTGCCAGGATGTGAGATTGGGAAAAAGTCCATCATTCGTGAAAGTGATTCATCTTCAAATAATTGAAAGCAAGACTAAAACAGGAGGCTACCTGGAAGATTTAGGCTTCCATAATACGAATCTATTTTAAAATCCCATCAGATAAATGTGTGGGCACACTGCCACCCCAGCCATGTCAAAGCACCTGAATCTCTTGCTTTGTGTTGTTTTTGCAGGTAGAGGTGAATGCCAAGGATCCAGCTTTGCTCTTGAAGGTGCATGTGTTCTGACAGGCAGATTCTGAGGTGTTACTCTGGTATTTTCAAGAAAAGGATCCACATAGCTGGAACTCACAGCTACATCATTGGCTGCCCCAGAATCTTGGCTAATGTTTGCAACATGGATATGGGATTGTTGCATCTCTTCCCCACACCTGCCCATACATACACATACACACCCAGAAGGGTTTTAATGTGGTCCTGTATCAAAGTACAGAGGAGTGCACATACTATCAGGTTAAAATAATAGAAAGAATATCAGGCTGAAAGCTAGATGTCTGACAAGAAGACATGAAGCGTGTCTTTGGCAAGGACCAGAAAGGTAGTCTTAAGTAGCCCACCTTACTGTGAGATGAGCACAAGGTAATAATGCTGGCCTGTACTATAACCAGCAGCCCATGCCGCCTCAGACTGCAGAAAAGGCCAAGAGCCCAAGCAGGAGTGTTCATCTCAAAGGACTAGAAGATTTATTGCTGCCATGAGGAAAAGAGAAGTCCCCTGAGAGAAATCTTAAAGCATGGGAATCGCAAGGCCTTCTTATGGTCTGATTGCTCCACAATTACTTAACAGCATACAAGAGAAATTGAATCCCTTCATCTAAAAGTCCTACACACCAGCTAGCATTGGGTGGGCATCAGAGCAAAGTCTCAGTTGTGGTAGTCCATGATGCTAAAGTGCAGTGTTGCTTTCAGGGATGATTGGCATTGAGAAATATATTCTTCCTTGGGGACAATCAGCCACTACGTAGTGGCTCTAAATCTATTTGAAGGTGTAAATGTACACCGCTTCAGAGCTGGGTATTGTGTTTCATTAATTTGGAGAAAGGAAATATTGAGGATGGAACCCTAAAAAGGATACATCCTGGTTATAAAATTCTAACTAAAATGGGAGTATCTTAGTAGCTAGTTAAGACCCTTAAATCTACCCACTGTCTGCACCACTACCTGTTAATAAGTCAGTTGGGAACTGAACTGTGCCTTTTACTGAACATGCTGCACCACTATGTTTTCTCACACTAGCATTTTCTTCCTTTCCTGTACAAATGGCAGTAGACCTGGGAATTATTTGAGCCCCCGTCCCCACCCAACCCAGACAAGCAAGAAAGGGTTCTATTATGGGAAGGTGGTTTACATTCAGGTCTTCCAGAAAGTCCAGAACCAAAATAAATGTATTTGTTAAAAGAGACACCCGTGTTAACGGTGGGAAAAAGCCAAGAGTTAGTCTGGGGTTGCAATAGCGTGTCTGGAAAGGGCAAGTGGCAAACATTCCACTGAGACCTATTCAAACTGTATGGAAACAGACAGGTGGATTAGAGAGAAAGCAGTGCCTTCCGTTCAAGACAAGGTAATTTGGGAAAGAATCCCACAATGTTCCAGAAGCAAACTGATCTGCTGCAGCCCTTCAGGATAACAAGAGTCAGATACAGTAACCTATGTCTACTTTCAATACTTTCTGTGAACTATTTTTTTTCTACCTCACTGCCATCCTATTTTCCAGAATTGTCCTTGGTTGCTTTTTAGGGAAGCCATGCCCCACATTTAGAAGCAGGACCCTCTTTATGCTTAAAATGGTAGGAAATCCAACCTTAGTAAGCTTAATTAATTGCACAGAAACGTCCTAAATTCTGGCTGCCTTGCAGTTGTATATTAAGCACAATCCTTGCATGGCATCCTCACTCTTAACAAGTTTTGCTTGTTTTCTCCTTTATCAGGTATTGTTAACAGTTTTGAACAACCCATTTCTTCCCATCACTGTTGACAAGGACTTCCAGCTCAGTTCTGGTTTCCTGAGTTTAGCTGCAGCAGAAGCAGCAGCCAACTTCTGTGCCCTAGTCAGAAAGAGAGCAATGCCTCCTAAAGAGATGGTGCGCGGAAGCAGGAATCAGGATCTGTACATAAACTGCATTTCCTGGTTTGGGAGAGTTCTTAACTTTACTCAATAATTTTGTAATAGAAAATATTTTAAAAAAAGAAAGCTATGGAAGTTGATGTGAGTAAAACCAGTAATTATATTATGAAGCACGCAGCTTTCATTTTCAAAACTTTTATCAGTTTTCTGTCCTTTTGGTTTTTGGGATAGCGAGAGAATGGTGGTGCTGAAAATCTACTAATAAATCAAGTTATTATAGACCCTCTACCCCCTCCTCACCTCCCACAAAAGAAACAAATGCAAAGGGAAAAGGGAAACAGAAAGAAAATAAGAATAATAGGAATTGTCTCCATTCCCTGACTTTGATAGGTTGGGACAGAATCACCTAAAATCTTTGGGATCCAAGACACAAAATGTTGCTTCTGCATAAGAATCTGAAGGCCTTTCCAGGCAACTCCCCCCCCCCCAAATCCTCCTAGAAAAATACACAATTTAAAACATGCACTTGATGCTCTGTTGTTTTAAATGGTGTAGATTTTTTTTTGCAATGCTCCTATTTGGGGAAAATGCCTTTTCTCAACAACTTCTCATTACTGTTGAGGAAGCTTGTGAGTAGATAGACAACTACTTTTTCTGAGCTTGTGCCCATGACATCTGGTTTGAAGAACCTAATTTTCCTCTGGTGTCCATCCCTCTGCTGCTAATTATTTCCTTTTTAATTGGTAGGGTTTTGTAACTTTTTAAAGTGTCTCCTGTGTTGTGTGCTCCGCTACGAATCATGGGACACTGACCCACTCCATGTTGGTCTCAGATGTCCTACGTATAAAGGACAACTCAGCCCTGTCTCTGAGCTGCCCTACTTTTCATTGGGTGAAATGGACCAAGAGGAAGATGCTGGTTTTGGAATGGATCCTTTAAAACCTGAACCAGAAAAGCCAGAGTTCTTCGCTATCTTGTCCCCACCTGGGCAACAACACAGTTTACAGCAATAATAACACTCCTATCCTAATTCAGTGCATGGGAAGTGTGTGTCACACATCAGATGATGCCTAAGATTTGCTAGCAATTTCTATAGGTGTGTGGTATCTTTGTTAATTGTCTGGAAAGGCCCACTGGAAGGAATGATTGGACCCTGCACAGCAATCGCACTTAGTGGCTTGTTCATTTCCCCCCTTTGGAATTTGTTTTTGTGACTGTGTATGAAGTTCAAGAATCCCAGTAAAAATTTCCAGCAAGGTCTCTTTTCCTTTTTTATAAAAATAGATTTTTAAAATCTTTTTAAAATTTTTTGTTGGGTTTTCTTCTTTGTTTCAGTTTTACCTTTTAAAATGTATTATTTTCCCTTTGTTTGGTCATTTGTTTGTTTTAAAAGAGAAAGGAAGACCCCACACATCAACTCAGCCATACTAACCATTTTCCCTTTGCCCAAAACACTTTTCGATCTATTCAGTTGTTAATGATCACAACTCTGGGGCTGATTTCCTTCCCCTGTGCTTGATTCTATAAATTCTTCATGAAATATCAGTTTACAAGAAAAGAAAAATATTTCATCTTGGGGAAGAAGAAAAATAAAATGTTTAATTTACTGCCACTTAATCTCTCAAATAGCAAGTCCCTATTTCTGACCCGTAAGAAACTTATCTAGTCCTTACAACCTGATTAGAAGCCATAAAGACTCTAGAAATCTTGGACTTTGTGCCAAATTCTTGGCTGCCCTTTCTTACATCATTCTGACCCAAACTTTCATTTCAATGTAAAGTAGTTAAATAAATAAGCAAATATTCAAAACCTGATCAGCAAATTTTACAACATACGAGTGTAAAATGGTTCCTCTTTTCCCAGGGAATGAGTTTTCTCTGGAATCAAATAGGAAGTACCCTCTTTCCAGACCTAAAGAGTTAGATTTATTTTCCCAAATATGGCATCATTCTAATTAGGGGCCAAGGAAAATAGTGGGATTACGAACCTGTATCACTAACATGTTAGACCAACAGATGAGATGAGTGCAATCTTCTCCAACCACTTTTGTTCTTTTTCTTTCTTTCTTTCTTTCTTTCTTTCTTTCTTTCTTTCTTTCTTTCTTTCTTTCTTTCTTTCTTTCTTTCTTTCTTTCTTTCTTGCATCGTAAGAGAACAAAGGTGGTAAGCTGAATCTTTTTAATTCCTCCCCCTCAGCTAGCTCAGAGTAACAGTCATGACCTTCTCAGATTTGTTGGTTCACAATGTTTTAACATGAAGGGGGCATCACACCTTACCAGGGTGGTTTTTTTTTCATCCTCCAGGGTCAGAAAAACTCTCCACCAAAGGAACCAAACAGGTGTGGAATTCATAGAGGGAAAGATACCGGTATATGGACAATTGGAGAAAGCTTCAGACCTGGGCATGTATGTTAAGAAAGCCTTGAAAGAGGGAGGGGTCACCAAGCATAGAAACAAGAGAGGTGTCCTATTCTGAGCAGATGTCACTCCTGCATGCTGTCAGAGCAGGGTTTAATTTTCAAGAAGTGGCTGACAAGTTGCTGCATCCGTGCTTCCCGCTGGGCTGTCGGGCATGGGGAGAAGGAGGGGGAGGAGCCTCCTGCTTCCCAAAGATCACGGTGTCTGGCGGTTGAATATTCTGCAACATTGAGTCAATGAACATTTCCGTTCTTATGGCGAGTTGGGGAAGAGAGCTGTTTCCAGCACACTGTTGCTCCCCCCTCCCCCCATCTCTCTGGTGCATTCGCTCACTCATGCCTTGTGTTGCTTACTGGTCTTGAAGGAAACCTGGAGGATTCGGTCACCCAGTCGGTAGCCATTGAGGCTGGCGATAGCCATGGCGGCTTCATCATAGTTGGTCATGGTGACAAAGCCAAAGCCTTTGCACTTGTTGGTGGTGAAGTCGCGGATTACTTTGACATTGGTGACGGCTCCAAAGGGCCCAAAGAGTTGCCAGAGGACGCTCTCATCTGCCTCTGGAGAGAGGTTGTACACAAAGATGCACCAGCCTGCACTGGAGGCCCCGGTCAAATTGACGCCCGCCAGACTGGTCATGCTGTCGATCGTGATAGGAGAGAACCTGGAGATCAAGGAGAGAGGACTACTTTGGGTGTAAGGCTGGCATTCTGCCAGCATAAATTCATTACATTACAGAGAGGTTAGGGACAGTGGTGACACCCCCAGCAAAAGGGAGCATCGCCCACTGTTCATTTAGTAATCTTAACTCAAAAAGGAACTCATCAGAGAGGCAGTTTCTCTTAAGATTTTATCTATGCCAAGAAACTGGCATAAATTGTATGATCCTATTTCCATAATTCTTTTATTCACCAAGGCAAATCTAGAAGCTAACATTTGAATCCACATTCTTCAAATATATTTCTCTCTATCTTGGGCTCTTCTTAAGGGTTAGTTCTGCTTGTAAGATGGAAGAAATCTTTGACTTATCTTTTGGGCTTCCTGAGCGCTAAATAGACATACTAGCATATTATGAAAGGGTTTGTAATAAAATGGACTATGACCATCAGTTTTGCAAGCAGGGAAACTAGAATCTGGTATATTGTTTGCAAAATTAAGATCTTAGTTTCCATAACTTATTTGAGATAACTTCAAGGTAACAAAGTATAATTGCAATGTAAATTCCAAAACCAGATGGAGATTGAGCAAACCTTATGACAGTGGCAGGGGATTGTCTACCACACATTCCTGTCCTGTCTTCCATCCACCACACTAACCCACCACCACCACCACCACCACCACCTTGTCTACTCCAATATAGTTTTCACTAAAAAGTTCTTGAATAACTTGAATTAATGGATTGATTCACACAAACCATTTCTACAGGGATTTACACACTGTGCCAAGTTTCAATACAGCTTCCTATGACTTGTAGAGCTGGACAAACATAACATAAAGTGGTTTATTCAATAAACTATAGTTTTGGACAGTGTGAAAACCATTTCTATACCCAGCTGGATCAACTTTGTTCTAGGTCCAGAACATGGTTTGTGAGGCTGGGCAAACATAGCCACTGTGGTTTATTCAATAAACCGTAGTTTTACACAGTGTGCAAACCTCTTTCTATACCCAACTTTGTTCGAAATGCAGAATGTATCCCATTTGCGTGCTGCTAAGCCAAACATTTCAAACAGAAAGTGACTGACAACAATAACAGCTCAGTCAAGCTATTTCCTCAACCAAACTAGCCGAGTATTTGCCTGAGTCAGCATCACTGTTCAGATTTAGCTGATTGCCGCTAAGTGCCCATGCACACTTACTGAAGGAAGCCCCATGGACCTCAGTAGGATTTATTTCTCAGCATCAGATACTGCTTTTATATCTTTGGGTGCAAAATTTGAACATGGATGCATGCTTTCATACCCTTGATAAAAATTCCCCCACGTGGTAATATTGGGAGTAAATATGGACTGAATCAGGGCAGAGTTACAGAATGGGCAGCTTCTCTTTGCCAAATCTGAGGAGGCAGCTGAATGTTGCAGGGATCTCCATGGCCGACTAGAGCTCCGCAAAGGAAGCTAAGGCAGCAAACATTTTAAATATCAACTTAAAATGAAGAGTGTGGTCTGATATGATGAATATTTTTAGTTTAAACCCAGCATTATTGAACATAATAATATATGAACTGGATAAGTGCCTGGACAGGAGACCCCTATGGTTTCAGAAGCCATGCCAAATTTTCTATGGAAGAGTCAGATATCTGGGTAAATGTCATTGTTCAAACAAATAAATAACCTTTTGGCTTTCAAAGGGTGCCCGCGAATTAAAAAACAAAATAAGTTATTGCTTTTCTGATATACTTTTAGAACAATCACTAACTTCTGCCCCACAAGCAATGGAATTAAATGAAACCAAGAAGCACCCCACACAATGAAATCTAAGAAACACAAGACCAAAAATCATGAACAGCCAGTCATCTGAGCAAACAGCAAGCCCTTCTCTCAAACCAAACCCAAAACAGAACCAAAAGAACACATGAAAGACTGTGTGTGGTGTGTCCTCAAGACACACACATTTGAATTCCACAGCCTAAGCCAGAAATTGGAGGGATTTTAACTTTTCCTTTTCAATTCCCATCTTCACTGAAGGAAGTGTGGAAGGGTTATGGGGGGTTTTGGTGATTAAAAAGAAAAGGTCAATATACAGGGAAAAATCAAGCAACCAAATGTTGTCTGTGTGATGGTTTAAACATGGCTCAAACTGGGAAAGAAAATGGTCCTCCAGTATAGGAGACTCTGCCCCCTCCAAGTCTCAGTGCTGGGCCTGATCAATCACAACTCTCAGCTTCTTTCGGGATTCTATAAAATGGAAGCATGGCTGTGTTGCAGGGAGGACTTGGCAAGGCAGAAAAGGAAGTTCTTGGCTGGGGAGAGGGTTTGCCCTGACCAATCACCTTTTAAAAATCCAGCCTTGTGCTGTAGGCCAAGGTGGGGAAGAGGAGGGGGCGAGGAGCGTAGGCTTTGGAAGGCTATTTACCTCTTGACGCCGTATGCCATGTTTAGCAAATTGTCGAGCCTGTGGGAGGAAGAGGAAGATGAGGAGAGGCCATTGTTAGTAGACAATCTCATAACAAAAGGGTCCTGTGAGGTCAACTGCCCTGATTGTCAGTGCAGCAGAAAGGTAGTACATGGATTCTGTCACTAGCAGAAGTTGCCATTTAATGTGTGCACAATTGCATCCTGAGGCCCTGGTGTCTTATAGGCTTCTTCTTTGGTTGGGGAAGGGAAGTTCAAAAATAATAACAAGGATCAGGTACTCTACATTTTTACACATCTATTTTTTCATGATGCTAGAAAGTATGGGAGATAGGAGGCATCAAGTACTAAAGGGTGGTGAAAGTTTATTTCAAACATCACAATGAGGATAAGGATGTTTCTGACACTCATTCCTTTTAAAAACAAGACATATAAAGAATAGAAACGCACATGGCAAACATGTTTATAGTTTCATTTTGGCATCCCAGCCTCATTTTCACAATGGACTTTTCTTTCCAAATGGTGGCCCAGATTTTATATAGAAACTCTCTTGACCTGGGATCTACATGCTAGCTTTATAGTACAACAAAATTCCCATTATCCTGTTAAGATCAAAAGGTTTTTCTTTCTTTGGCAATTTATAACCACTGTGGTTGCTAGACAAAACCTCCAAGTGCCTTGGTTATTAGAACTTTTAACTGTCAAAATCAAAGAACTTAATTATTTTCAGTTAACTTTCCCGAATTTCTAATTGTCCTGTTCCTATGTTAACTCTAGTGTTCATCACCTGTACTTATATGCTTTTCCAGAATCCCAATTCTTCAAGGAACCTTGTGAAAAAAGGAAAATATTTTAAAAGCTTCCTTTCACAAATTGTGCATTTTACAAAAATAGAAATATCTGCTTGCTTTGTACCATGTTGCATTTTTTCTACTACAGATTTACAAGTATCATCCTAGAATTGCAGTCCTTTTAATTAGGGCATGTTGCTGTTTTCCATGTGCAGCAGTTAATTGTGTGATGGCAGAATTACATTTTCAAGGGCCCAAGAATTTTTATCTGTATATTATGGCTCTATCCATAAACTGTAAAATTAGCCAATGCACAGGGAAAGGAAAAAAAAACCCTTATGTTCACATGTTCCATGGGTTTGTATGGATTTTACACTATATGCCATGCAGATGCCATGCTTTTATATGTGACATTTATGTATGGGTAGAAATGCATGAGCAGCAAGTTCAAATCAAGTAATCCTGAACTATCATTCAGTCCAGTCTTAATGCACATACACAAGGCATACACAGCTCTTCATCAAACAGATTGGAAAAGTAACTAAATTCCTAGCAAATTTCTTTTTTTCATGGATTTACATCTACTGATTGTTTTAGCAGATCTGGTAGAAAATAATTACTGGATCAAGTATTCTGTTTTTTGGGGCAGGTTTATATACAGGATTCCTGGATTCTATCTATCCATAACTATAACTTGAGACTATTGGAGATTATTTGATGGTTAGAGTATCATCTAGGTAAAGAAACAAAAAAAACTTGCTATTCTTGTCTTCTGTCTCTACAGATCAAGCCAAATATAATGCAATGAAGCATTATATGCATTTTCAAAATAATTTGAACATGAATTGCAAGCTATCTGATTCCCAGACAGACATGATGATTATTTCACTGATAATATCAAATATGGGCCATTTTTCCTGAGACATAATCCCCAAATTCATTGCACACAGGTTTAAAAGTACCCCATTGAAATAGGAGAAAGTGGACTAGCATATTTTAAAATTGTGAGCAGCTGCTTTTTTTCAGTCCTTCAATGAAGAATTTTAAATTAGTCATGTTATCAAACAAAGCTATTTGGCAGACAACTAGAAGACAAAAGATACAATTCAAAGAACACTTATTGACTCTATCCTACATGACTATTTGACCACTACTTTAAATGCTTTACAATTTCGGTCAGAACTGCTTTGTCTTCATTTGGCCTACAAGAAATTCCCTGAAATTTAAATTTTGCCAACTGTTTTCCTCAGGAATTCACTCTCCCAACTCCTAGATAACTACTAGACATTGGCTGCATTCCCACAAAATATTAATCCAAAATCCTAGCATAGCATCAGAGGTAAGTTTGCTGTTTTATAGTATCTGATCACATTCACAGTGTGGGAAGTCTGGTATCTGAGATGAATTCCTACCCCAGGATTTGGCTCAAGAAATTGCTATATAACTATAAACTATATAGCTATTGAGTTTGCAGAACAAGTCAAATGAGAGTAATCAGGCAGGCAGCAAGCCCTAAGAAGTATGTTCATAACAATCAGCAGGATTTTAGAAATTTCAACTTTGCCTCTGATATAAAGATGATTGTTATAATCAATGCATGAGACATCCTATGGTTTTGCTCTTCAACTAAACCACAACTGATAACCAGCTCTCAACTAGCATACCAGAGAAATAGATTACCTATACTTTATGAAAAAATGGAGAAATGACCTGCAACAAAAATGGGTTAAGATACTATTTTTTCTTTCTCTCTTTCTTGTGGTCTCTAAGTCCAAAACACCAACAAAACACCATACAAAATCATTGACAGCCCCCAATAGATTGAGAGCAGAAAAGATTAAGTCCAGGTCAACCTCTTAGAAATAAACATCCTAAGAATTCACCTCACAATGCAGTAATAATCTCCAGAAGCAAAAGGAAACATCTATAATGGCTCCCTGGGGGAAAAAATATACATCTTGCTCAGTAAGAACAAGGGACCTAAAGAACAAGTAACCTGGTCCTAAAGCATTACTTTTAAAGTTTTAGATGATAGAAATGCTCACTCTTTTGGTTTTGTCCTCTTCCACAAGCCAGTTCAACAGTCTTTTCTACCAAAATCCCTTATTCTTGGCAGTACTGCCTACTATGGAACTGCTTAATAAAATCCATCATCTGTGCTGTCCTGACCTCACCTCATCAGTCATATCAGCTGGCCATGGAAAGTACAATTTCATAGAGTCAACTCTAACATAATAGCTCCCTGTTTTGCAGTCATTCCTAAGGAGGCCTCTAGTCTTGGCATTTAGTTCTTCAGGCCTATACTGGTGGGTAGGAAATATGATAAGACTTATACCTAAAAAAGCTAAAACTGTGCCACCAATTATAAACTATCTAAATGATCAGAGTTTGAGGTGTTTTACCATCTCAGTTATTCAGCTGAGTCATGGGACCTTTAGCTACCATAAATTAGAAGGAGGAACAACTGCTGAGCCTTGCAGATACCATGGGTAATGAATAGAAATACTATATGAGTGCCACACAATGTTACATGAAAAGGGATAATCTCATATGATTATTTTTCCACAAGAGCATGGGGAAAGGATATGTAAATCCATGTACTTTATACTACCAGAAGTGAAAATTTAATATATCTATTTCTCCAGTTGTACTTGAATGTTTAAGCCATGAATACAAATGGAAAAGAAAGTATCTGCATTATCTTTACATATAATGGGCAGATTTTCTATACTACTGTGTAAAGAAAACATGTTATGTCTGAAAGAGCCCTAGCATACAAAATATGTGAGAAACATAGAAGAAAATAGATTGAATACTGAATATGTGCTACATACACGGATTTCAAGCTGCAAGTAGACATTCCAAAACAAAATGAGTGAGAATTTTACACCATTTTTGTTCTGGTTATTCAAGTAACTGATCAGAACATAAGCTAAAGGATTCTTCAGGGCAAAATTGATTTTTGTTTACCTGTAGAGTGAAAAAGAGTAAGAATTCACAGGTAAATGTTTTCAGGGGCCTTGGTTCTTTCTCCTTGATAGATAGCATTTCCCAGACTGTTCTTTTTTTTTTTTTTATGGCTCCCTAATTATGGAAGAGAAATCTGGCAACACTCTAGATTCAACATTAAAACTCTATCTCCAGTTACATTAGCAGAATTAGAATGCCAGGAATTCTTGTGTAGGACAATAGAGTCACTGCTACAAAAATTAGTTGGAGAAAGATATTAAAGGTATTAGAAAGCTGCTTGACTCAGAATTAGCTGCCCTATTCTCTCCTTTATCAAGAGCAACTTTCAGATGTTTGTTCTACCTTTGGAGTGCTTGCTCCAGCAGACACCTCCTTGCAGCAGTCTAGCCAGCCAGAGGACTCCTCAGAAAAACAAATCTTTGCAGATTAAGTAAAGCATATAAAGAGTTTCATCCTTCTCTTTTACAGGGAAGAACAATTTATCTCGTTTGCGCTGTTTTGTGGCCATCAGCTACAAATACAAGGCTTTATCAAGAAAAGGAAGAGATCCAATGTGTCTTAAGAAACAGTCTACAGCATGAGAGCTGTTTATCTGACCCAAGCCCCGTGAATTATTTTTGCAAGAAACAGTTTCTTAAGCATCAACTGGTATGACTGTGCCATGGAGCTGTAGAAGGAAACAAAAGCTTTTCCTATTATATTTGTTTGTGGATTAATGGTACCCATATATGACAGACTAAAGATATACAGATCAATATCTCCAAGTATGGGATCTGAAAACTACATCTCCCTTAAGCAAAGGATTAATACCTACAAGGCACTGGGTGAGGAGAAGACCTGACCACTCAGCCTTCCAGCAAAGGAGAGGGCAACATGTCTCACCTGAATCGCTGAGTCTGGTGGTGCAAAGGCCCTGTGTACCGCCGGGCTGTAGTCTGATACAGGTGTGTGAGTAATGCTTGCCCTGTCTTCTGGCTGGGGTTATTGGCAAACTTGACTGTGATGGGCTCACTAGCACCCAGTGGTTTCTGCCCATTCAGCCCCTTGATGGCTTCCTCAGCTTCTATCCTCTTGTCAAAGCGGATGAATCCCACGCCTCTAGACACACCTACAAACAGCGAAATGGAGGATTAATGCTGATTACTGCATATTCTGATTGTTTTGGCAACAATGTCTCCTAGCTGAAGCAGAGATTTCAACTTTTAGTACTTAAAATTGGTTGTAATGTCGAGTATAGTTACTGGTTTTTATTTTCCAGATTAAGGCAATTGTCTGCAATGCATTTGGCAATCTTTATAGATCAATTGCTACTCTTAGGCATCTCCTTTTTTTCCTTTTGTTTTTCCTAGCTTGAATTGGAACCACAACCTATATTGCCCAGTGGTTCCAAAGCAAGTTGACTCAGCAGAGTCAAGGCTCAGTCCAGGAACATGTTTAAATGTTTTTGGACATATATACTGTAGACTTTAGAATTTTCTCTGTGACATTATGAACAAGAGTTCCCATTTATTTCTAAAATGAGAACTATCTAGCAGAGTTCTTTGCTTGTCACTGCAGAGTAAGAGTGACCCATATATAACAGAGATATGCATCAGCAGTAAAATATACATTTGAGCGCATGACTTCATACAAACAGCATCATACAAAGTAATTATTTATTTTATATAAATAACAATACTTAGAAATACATGCACAACCCTCAATGTATAGCATAACCTGCTTCCTTACACTCCCCCACTCCCTGCTTTAGTCCCCTTGGCACTCATCTCTCAACGCTGGCACCCGTGTGGGGTTAACTCCCTGTTCTTTTGTTACCTGTGACCTGATCCACAAGGATACGGGAGGTGATGATTCGTCCATACTGTGAGAAAAGCTGCTCCATCTCTTTCTGGCTCATGGTTTTGGGCAGGCCACTGACATAGAGATTGGCATCACGGATAGAAGCAGAGCTCGGCCGTGCGTAGGATACCTGGTGGGAAGAAAGACACAGTTACAAGGGCCATCAAGAAAGAAGCAAAGAACAACCTTCTGAATTCTATTCTCACATCAAAAGAAGCAACCTTCTATCGTAAAACAAACTAACAATACTTTCGTTGAAGGGGAGCCAAGATTCCTACTTACTGGTACCTTTTCTTTACCTCTACTTCCTTCGTCTATAGCTTTTTTTTTTTCAAACTCTTAACTGCTGGTTCTGTGGGGCAGAAATCCTCTTTTCCATGATTATTTGGGAAGGAAATATCAATATGCCTGTGTATATTTACCTTCCTCCCTCCCCCCATTTCTTACCTTAAGATCTTCTAATTACAAAATTAGAAGCTGGCACACAGCAAAGGGCCAGCCTCTAGAACCACTCCTCTTTCCATGGAGCAAGGTGGACCCAGAAACTTTCTTAGAAAATAAAAGTGAAGAAAGGCTACAACCCAATGTTTGGTGGGAAAGTTTTCCTACAGTGAGTAGGGGTAGTAAAAAAAAATCCCCAAAAGCAAAGTGTTACATCAATCAAAGTTATGTAATAAACTATGTCTATGTTGTATTCTCAAAACTCCAAATAAGCCACAGTCTCAGAAGATTAAAGATGTAGGTCTTTAAATCTTGATAAAGGTACTGTATAGTGGGAGAGTCAATTTGGTGTAGTAGTGAAAGTGTTGGCCTAAAAGCCAGGAAACTCTGAGTTCTAGTCCTAACAATTGGGTGATTTTGGGCCAATTAGCCCAATCCATGATGTCAGGTTCATAGTGGGTTAGACATAATTGGGCACAAAAATAGAGCATTCCTGTCCCTCCCGCGCTCTGCTTTGCCTTTAAGAGGAGTTTTCCCTCACGCCCCATGCTCCTCACCTTGATTGTTTTTGTCTGCAGTTTGAGTCCATTCAAGGTGTTGATTGCTTTGTCAGCATCATTGGAATCAACATAGTTGACAAAGCCGTAGCCTAAACTCTGCCCTGGGAGTGCAGAAGAAGAAGAAAAAAATACAGTAAAGATGATGCTAAGCAAGAAAAGGGAGTAAAGATTTTCTCTGACAAACCTACCCTGGACAAAAGTAATCAGATAACAATATTTCAAAAAAGACATGGTGACAGAATAAACTTAAACTATTTCTCACTTCAGGAATATACAAAGTTTATGCATTGAACACAATGTTCAATCTCTGGATGACAAAAGCAAACAGTAATATTGGACAACTTTCAAATACAAAAATACACTGAAATAAAATTCTGGTAAAGCTCTTATCGGAAGAGAAATCTACTTTATTCTCCACGAAATAATTGAAAGGGGACAAAAAGAGTACTATAAGTTGTGGGGGAACAGAGTAAATGCCTGGATTCATATGACACGTTTTTTCCGCTTCATTTGATACATTCAGCATCTACTATAATAATGCCACACTGGGCTATAATCAGGTCCATGTGTCTATGGTCTAAAATTTAATTTCCAGCCAATATGATTATTGCAGATGAGATAACAGGTTTGGTGCCGTATCTGAGTGACGGCAGTGAACAGATTAGATTGTTTCACCTGATTCAAAATTATTGTACTAGTATATAAGAGATTGTGTTGTACTTTGCTTCCTCCTCTCTACCACTCAGGTAAAATATATTACAATCCATTTTGTTTGTCCTATAAGAATATTGTCAGGAGGTAAGAATGCTACCATATTTATTAATCTAGAGTTGTCCACTCTGCATGGAATCAATTTCATCTCACCAATGCAGCAAATAGATGTCAACGGAATACTTAAATACACACTATACAGGTAGTCTCCCCCGCCCACTTATGGACAGTCATTGGGACCAGAAACTCCATCACTAAGCAACATAGTCTAAGGCATGATGCATATGATCATGCCCATTTATGACCACAGCTCCAGTGGTTTCCTTTGCCATTATTAAGCAAATCCTGCATGGTGACAATGTCCCAGTGATCACAGTTTGCTGACTTCCCCATTGAATTTGCTTGTTGGAAGCTAGCAGGGAAAATTGCAAATGGTGATCATATCTGCAAGCTGATTGCTAACTGCTTGAATCATAATCATGTGGCCATGCGGGGACACTGCAACAGTCACAACAAGGACCTGTCATAAGTAACCTCAATCAGTGCTATTATATCTTTGAATAGTCACTGAACTAATGAGAACTACCTATGTAAGTATATGAATAAGTTATCTCCTATTTGCACATAACTATCCAATCTCTCTCAAATAATGCTCTCTTTATGCTCTCCCTTAAAGAAACAGAAGTATATATCAATGGTTAATGACCTAGAGGCATCCTACATTGGCTTATATTAGTGGCCTCAATCCTTAAAATCCTACCTTCCTCCACAGATTCAGGTCCCACAGCAAAAAAAAAAAAAAAAAGTTAAATTAGCTATATATCACTCGGTGACATGATACTGTCAAATACAAACATTTCCCAAAATTTTAATAGTGACACTCATTTACATATTGTAAACTGCCCAGAGTTACTTCTCATGAAATGGGCTGCTATATAAATTTGATTAATAAAGATATTGACAGAGAAGAATTTTGAGTAGAAACATTGAACCAAGTGTGCTTTATTGCTAACTTACGTTAATATAGCAAAGTCTCCATAACTACTACTGTGAAAAAAATAGAAAAATTTGTCCTATTATCCTGATTTTGAATAAGCAGCCTAATAAAAGGTAGGACCCTAAACAACTCACTAACTGCTGATCATCACAATGGACAGGTTCATAGCATTTGTGCTGTGTCTGGCTCTCCACAGTCTGATGTTGAGATTTTAAGAAGTTGCCCTTGGTATAATTTAATTATCTAACTCAACAGCATATTATCAACAGCAAACAACAACAACAAATGAAATTTAATGTATCACAAATGTTGAAGTCTAGCTGAGTCCCGCCTGAAAGGAATGTTCCTGTTTAGAGTTTTGCTCTATTACATGAATTCCAAAACCTCACCAACATGTTCAAGCTTTATTCCAGACACTCTTTATTCCAGACACTCTCAAACTAAAAGCAGCACAACCAATTTTGATTCTATTCTCTACTTTTTCTTTGCACCTTTTACAGATCCCAAAATGCAATTTATCTATCTATGCATCAGCAAATTGATTTACGACAGCGGCTCCCAACCTTTTCTATACCCCGTACCCCTAGAACACTTCTGATATATTCTTGCACCCCTTGCAAAAGTTCAAAATAACAGCAACAAATTATGCATATACACTATAATTTTGAAAACCCAAGTTTTTGCATCCCCTGGAATATCGTCTCGCACCCCCCCCTCCCCGTTGGGAACCCCTGATTTACAGAATGCTAAGTATATCTCTGCAGACAGCATTTTTGGACAATACAATCAGGTATCTTAAAGAAAAACAGATGAACCTAATTCACACCTGTATTATGGGTGGTCACACTGTGTTGAAGGAGAATAACTACAATTGTAACTAATGCTGATTGCATAAAAATCACAAAATTAAACATTTAACTCAAAACCAATTTTCTGCAGCTGGTGTCCATGCCCCATTTGTAGATAAATGATGAAACATAATCTAGATGAATTTGGCATATTAAGTTATGAAAGTTAAAATGATGCATACTATTGATGTGTGAGTGTTTCTGTAACTACTCTAATATTATCTGGATCAGATTTCAATCCTGTGAAATACCTAAAGCTACCTTTATCTGAACATCTGTTAGGAAAGAGTCAAATTAGTTTCTTGTATCTCCAATATAAGATATCTGCCTTCATATCTGAAGGTCTGTCCTTCAGAACTATCTAGGCATTCAAAGCTACAGCAGATTGTTTTAAGGGAAAGGACTAGAAATCTGGAGACCGTGAATTCTACTTCTGCCTTATGCACAAAGCCAGCTGGGAAGGAGACAATGGCAAACCACTTCTGAAATATCTTGCTAAAAAACTGCAGTGAGTTGTCCAGGCAGTCACTGCCAATGCTGGTGGCACCATAAAAAAAGGAGGGGGGGATTTTTTTCTGGAGATGATGAAGAGAGAGAGAGAGAGAGAGAGAAAATAATCAGTTGATGAACCAAGATTACTAGTGCAAGAAAAGAATATTGCCAACAAAAATCTTCACTCAGAATGGGTGCTTTCAGTACCATACAAAACCTGGTTGCTCTCAAATGCAATGGTACTTCCCTATCTTCGTTTAGGGAAAATTCTTCATGGCACAAGCTGGCAATTTCTCTGACAGAAAATCATGGCAATTACCAGCCACATAGGAAATATTGTGGAAGGAACCAATCTAGTGGTTCAAGGAAAGGGACAGGTTATGCAGGTTTTGTAACAGCAGACAGCAATAATGATTGTCTTTTGATGAATCTAATAGAGACACATATAGGCATCTCCAAATGTGAGACGCAATGCTGTTATTGTGGAGCATACAAATATACACAACATACAACTGAATATACTAACTGCTCACAGCAGTGTGAAGTTGCTCAATGAAGTTTCCCTTCATTGGGAACAGAACGGCCAGTAATATTTATTTTTTCCTGCAAGAAGGATTTTTGAGCTGTGACATCAGGACACTGATGTCACAATTGTGTCCCTTTGCTACTTTCACACTGCCTATGTCCATTTACATGCAATACTTTAGGAATGCAATACTCATATAATAAAAGAATATAATAAAATAAACCACCAACATTGATGCTATTAATGTTTTCAACTAGGTTTTCTGCAACTATTGTGGCATAAGTGAAGACTTGACACTCCTTGTTCTCCTGTGGTCTTGAGGAAGCTGGACAAAATGGTAATCCGTCATACATAAATCTTTACTGAACTAGGAAGGGCTTATATTATTCATTTCAAATACTTTCCCTCTTATCACATGAGGATGGCAGGAATGGCTGATTTTGCTAACAGGTCACATAATTTAACACTAATTCCCAGTATTTATGATTCAAAAACCATATAGGAATTCAGTACTGATCTATCAGGATCTAGAGCAAGCTATTTTCCTTGAAAGAAATAAAAGCATTACAGCATCTTCTCTACCATCTGATACTAAATTATTTCAACACATAATTATGTGTCTTAAAGCAGCAACATATTGATCTAGAACAGTGGTTCTCAACCTTTCTAATGCCGCGACCCCATAATACAGTTCCCCATGTTGTGGTGACCCCCAACCACTTATACATCACCGGGTGCCAGGGGTGTGGCCAAAGAAAAGGGGAAAAAATGGCAGACAGCCTTGTTTGGCGACCCCCGTGAAATGGTCATTCGACCCCAAATGGGGTCCCGACCCACAGGTTGAGAACCACTGATCTAGAATTACTTTTGTTTGCTGGGCAAAATTTATATTTCAGTTAAATATATGTTTAAAAAAATGCACACGTTTCTTATATTTGATCCACAATAAACAAATTGTACAATATTTTCAAAGCTTCTGCTTGAGTTTACTTGCCTCTGATATTTCACCACTCATAAGCTTAGCTAAAAGGGCCCATCTCATTTTCACAATTAAACTAGTGGACAATTACTTAAATATGAGCCAGCAGTGTGCTGCAGCTGCCAAAAAAGCCAACACAGTGCTGGGCTGCATTAACAGACGGATAGAATCAAGATCACGTGAAGTATTAATACCACTTTACAATGCCTTGGTAAGGCCACACTTGGAATACTGCATCCAGTTTTGGTCACCACGATGTAAAAAAGATGTTGAGACTCTAGAAAGAGTGCAGAGAAGAGCAACAAAGGCGATTAGGGGACTGGAGGCTAAAACATATAAGGAATGGTTGCTGGAATTGGGTATGTCTAGTTTAATGAAGAAAAGGATGAAAGGGGACACGATAGCAGTGTTCCAATATCTCAGGGTCTTCCACAAAGAGGGAGTCAAGTTATTTTCCAAAGCACCTGAAGGCAGGACAAGAAGCAACAGATGGAAACTAATCAAGGAGAGAAGCAACCTAGAACTAAGAAGAAACTTCCTGACAGTTA